TTGTCCATCACCGCCGACTTCCTGCCGTGTGTATCGTTATGCGAGCTCTGATAGTAGATAGTTTTTGTTCGTCTACTATATTGCTCATTTGTCCGTTAACTTCTGTCACTTTTGGTGCGGACGTCTCGAACAGCGGTGGTATAGAACTTCATTTCTACCAAGAATTTCTGCGAAAAGAAGTTAGAGGAAGGCCGAAACTAGGTGGGCTGGAGGAGACATCTGGTGGTATGGTGTTGCAAATAACCAATGAGCCCTTTTTAGGCCTCTGAGAGCGACGAAACTGTCGAAACGTTAGGCCAATTCGAGTAAATAAATATACCACCTAATAAACCTGTACGGGGCAGCAAAAGTGAAAAGTATATCTAATGCCCAGATTTGAACAAAATGGAACTTGGACATTATACTTTATCAATTCTGAAGTACAAGCCAGAGAGCCATAAAAAATTGTCTTACTTGGCAAAAGGTTTGCTCTCTCTTCTGGTTATTAAAGTCCCCCTCTCCAAAAAAAAACTCTCATACGAAAATTTTAAAAATAGCGAAAATTGGACATGGTGAGTCTTTGCGATGTTATCGCCATATCTCTCTAAAGGCAGCTTCCCCTCAAAATGATGGGTTCCGGAATTTTACAGTGTTCCAATGTTAGACTCTCCAGACAGTCTATTAGCGAAGTCTGAGGCGAAAAAGCGCTTCTAGAAAGTTCAAAATCCGCTCCGGAAGTCTTCCGGACCCGCCCATTGCCAGACCCCGTCCACTTCTTACACGTAGTTTGGAGAGAACGACATAGAGAGCTTCCAAAAAAGCTTATTTTCGCCAGTTTCAAGCGCTGAAAAGCTCAGATATGGCTTTAGCGTGGCGAGAAGGCTCCGAAGCGGTGAAAAGCCGAGGAGCGAATTTTTGCCGGGACACTCCTATAAGGAGCTTTACAGTAACGCCATCTTGATTGAATTTCAAAAAATCTTGTCTTGATATTTCAAAAAAGCGCTGGACCGTTAGGTAGAGCATGTCTTTGGCTACATTGCATAGATAACATAGATTACGTTTCAAATTTAACTTTTTGGTCACGTTTAGAAAGTAAGAGTACAAGAATTAAAATTAAAATTCAAAAAATTCAAAAAGGGTAAGAATTCAAAAAGCGGACTTTTCAAACCAAATCAAACTGATCATGTTGCATAATTGTTGTTTACTAATGAACATTTCATTTTGCAGAATCTTAGTTGCGTGTATCACGACCTTATCAAAATTCGAGACTTTCGAAAAAAAATATTTTTCTGAGGTCGAAGCAGCATATGGAGGATCTAAAAGCATTAACGTTTAGTCCAAGATTTGCTATATCTGTGGCATACTTATCCCTTTCCAAAACTTCAGAACAAAACATTAAAAAATTAACCGATATTTGGGAAGATAGAAATGACAGGCTAAGGATTTCTCCAATTTAAAAAAAAAATGTACATAAGAGGTGGTTCGAAGATATAATCATGAAAAAGCTGCATCGAATGCATGTTGGGACATATTTGAGTCTTTATTTTGCGTGGTTTTATAATCGTTTGAAAAACCCGACAAAACTGTCGGGACAATCTATCCCTGCGTACAATTTTACAGCATTTTCATCGAGTTTACAAATATATGTAGATGACTTTGAAAACTTGAGGTGATCCCCTGGGGATCTCCTAGATCACACAAAACAGTAAACACAGTTTGTATGGCAATGTCATCCATTGTACTCAGATATTAAGGTATGTGAAACGTCATAAAGTGGACAGAAAAAGAATTACACAGATAGATTAAAAAAGAATACAGATACCCAGGCCCGTACGCACGTAAATCCCCGCGAGAGAGGAGAGGGGACCTGCTCAGACAATCGCCGGGGGAGGCGGGCACCGGAAAAATAGATTGCTGATCTCTCGCACCCCGCTCGCAAATTTTTTGGATAGCAATCAGGACTTTTCGGAAGATCGCTTGCTGAGTTCTCGATTCCTCAGAGATTCAGCAATATATCTGCAAAAGATAAGAGCGAAAAAAAATTCAACAGGCGGTCTCTCAAAAATCCGCTGACTCAGCAAGCGGTCTTCCGAAAAGTCCTGATTGCTTTCCAAAAAATCCGCGAGCGGGATGCGAAAGATCAGCAATCTATTTTCCGGTGCCCGCCTGCCCCTGGCGATTGTTTGAGTGAGAGAGGACGCGCCGTATCTCGCTACTCCAAATAGCTGCATTATTTTTTCTAACTATCTTGTATTGGTTCTCAAAGCCTAATGCTCTAATATAATTGATGACAGAAAATCACCGTACAGACTCTGTTTTTCATCGTTTCGTGTGGTCCCCTGGAAATCCCCAGGGGGTCTCCTACATCTTCAAAGTCGTTTTCCTATGAATTCGATGAAAATGCTGTAAAATTGTAGCGGCGAAACCCCCCAAATATTATATATCATCTATAAGCTCTTGAAGAGGAGAATCCAATTTATGAAGTAGCAACATAATTCATGCAATTCTGAAGAAGTTATGAGCTGTCGAAATCTAAAAAGCGGTTTTTTAACTGTTTTTTTTCAAGAGCCTGGATCTCGGCCGTATCTCGATGAATCGGTAGGCTAAGATACAGTTTGATAGCGCAACCCTTACCCTACAAAACAATTAAAGTCGCAGCATTGTACACCTTCACATTCCAGATTTATGGGAGTCTAAACGTCAGCTGTCACTGAGCAACCTAAAATCGCCTAATTTTTTGAAGTTCTCGTTGTCGGCGGTCACTGTCAAATCGACCTGACTTCTTCGCTAACTGGTAGAACAACACTTACCCTTTAAAACCTATGAAGTCGCAGTTGCTAACATCTTCAACCACCAGATTTATAACAGTAGAATTTTTGCATGATTTTCGTTATTTTATCATTCGAAATTCTGGTTCTCGGTGTTTACTGCCTATATCGAACTACTTTCTTCGCAGTACGTTATGACAGGATTTACTTACCCCATTTTCAGGTGTTTAAGGCGCACCCTTTTTGCTCTGAACGCGAGCAGACCCAGGCGTGCCGCAGCGCATATGTCTCGCGAAGCGGTCTACTTATCGCATATTGTTCTCACTTAACGCGCTCCATGATGACAGTCAGTCTTTTGGCGTGTTCGCCTTTAGAGCGAAAAGGGTGCGGCTTATACACCTGAAAGTAGGGTAATAAGATACCTAACGTCTTACTGAGTTTCACTTACAAATACACCATTTGATCAAAGGTTTCCTTCAAATATTAATGCCGCAGAGCTCATGGAATCATCAAGAAGCTTGTTCTCCGAAGTTGTGGGAAGTGCTGAGGCTTAGATGCGTCCATGTCAAGATGGCCTCCGGGTGCTCGCAGTAGGCTACGGCGAGTTCCTAAAAGTAAAGTGAGCGAGAAAAGACTTTTAATGAGCTTTGAATTTGTTTTTCTTATTTTTTCTAGTCAGTGAAAAAACTTATGAAGCTTTTAATAAAGAAATTTTTTTGCGAAAGTGACGAGCTGTACTCCCCCCCCCCGGTCGAAGTGGTGAGTGTCCAACACTATCACCTTCACTTTTGGGAAGCCCGGCTCCACCCATCGCACCTCTGGTGCCAACTGTTTTGGGAAGCAGAATGTGGTGGAGATCGACGAAGCTGTCTATTCATGAGTCGTGCAGACTCAGATAATCGCCGGGGGCAGGCGGTCCGCAAACTCGCGCTTTTCTGCAGGCGGTCAGCAGAATTTTGGGGCGTGGCCAAACCTTCAGCGGGCGGCACTTCCTTTACGGTCGCATATTCTGCCAGCGGGCAGCAATACAGCATTTTTTGCAAGCGCTCGGCAAATAATTTCTTTCAGCGAGCGCTGGCCAAACTTTCAGCAAGCGCTCGGACTCTTTTTAGGCATTTTCGGGCGTACGTCGAGCGCAAGTAAGACTCTGTGTGGCAGAAGTGTCACCGTTGGTTTAATTACTCAAGTTTGAGGTACTTTCCCCCAGCGGAAAGTACCTGGGGGTTGCGCGGTCCTCCACAAAGGACCGTGCGGCCCCCGAAATTTTTGCATATTCTCGCGGAAAGTCCGCGAGAATGCGGCCACTGCGCCGCAGCTAATCCATAAAGAAACCGCGATTGTTCTTCAAGCATTCGTCTTTAATTTCGCCAATTTTCTTCCAAATTTCTGCAGGCGGGCGGCAAAAAATCAACGAACTATTTTTCCGGTGCGCGCTTGCTCAAAATTCGCATGGCCGCCTGCCCCCGGCGATTATCTGAGGAGGCGAGAGGCAAGCAGAGCAGTGCTTGTCAAGGGCATTCGAGCAAAAGCGCTGCAGCTAGCACAGGGATCTAGCCGGAAGACTCCAAGGCATTGGTGTCTTGGTGCAAACTATTTAACTAGAAAAGAACTTAGTTATTAGACGAAGAACCAGCGTCGGTCAACCACTGCAGGAAGATTACGAGAAATTTGCAGGGACTTTAGGAGATTCGTGCAAAGGGAATCTCTACACATCTCACCTCATAATCTTGGAAACGTCACGAAGTCCCAGTGCCCTTTGATATGTTTCATGCAAGGACCGTGGACCAAGTTGAAGCCAAGGCCATACGGATTGATTTAACCAGGCATAAAAAATTCAACTTTACTGTTGTTCTCTCCATGACGGCCGCCGGAGAGAAATTGAATCTGATGACCATATTCAAAAAGAAGAGGGTTTCAAAAGATAGTTTTCACTTGGGACAGATGATAAAGGTTGGATAAATCAGAATCTTCTGAGAATCTGGCTGCTTGAGGTGGGGAACAAGAGACAGCGCTGAATCAACGATCCGTCGTAGTCATTGTTGATATTGGATTCTGCAAGGTACCGTTTTGTATTTTATTATTTCTTAAGCTTATTTTGCTCTTTTAAGGTGCCATCTGACGGAAAGCGTTCGAGAGCTTTTCAAGGAACATTCAAAAATTATTGCAGGCGGGATGACCAAATACTTACAGCCTTTTGATGTTGGCATTAACAAGCCCTAAAAAGATAATCTGAGAGCAAGATGGAAACGATGGATGGCCGATCCAGCAAGAGCAAGGTGTACTAAAAGCAGCGTTAGGAAAAGGATGAGCTTCGGCGAGGGCTGCACTCGGTTAGTTTCACAAAGGCTCTGGATGAAGAATCAATGATCGATGAGATAACGGGAGTTTTGACGCTTTGATTGTTACTGATAATAAATAATAACGTGATGCTAGTCGTTATTTTATTAGCGTTGTTGCCATGAATGTTTTTAATGATGATGAACCATGAATGGAAACTGAATAAAATTTGAGATTAAAAAAGGCGACCCAAATTGCGCATCCTTTTGTTTTTCATCTGAGAAAAAAAGCGGACTCAACTGATGGAGCTTTTCTGTAGGCGGACTTATCTGCAAGATTCTTGCAGGAGCCAGTGGGCATTTTTATCGATTTTCCTTGTCAAAATAGTGGACTTATTTAAAGGCGGACATATCTGATGGGAGGACTTATCTGTGAGATTTTAGGGTACTACGAAGAGCAAGTTTGACGCACAAAGGGACCAATACGTAGCAACATGCTGTTGCTCGAGCAAATTGGATTATAGGCAGTTACAGATTTGATCAGATTTGGATGACAGTACACATCTGCTGAGTAGGGAACGGAAGGAGCAAGAATAAAGTCGTGTTCGTGAAACTGCTCTCAGTCTTAAACCTAGTAACCTGCAAAATAGCAGAACAATAGTCTCGTTCAATTCACAATTGATGCGCAGAACAAAGCCGATATCATTGCGACGGATGAAAGCTGCCTTCTGAGAGATAAGAATTTCGAAAAAACGATCATGTGAACTGTAATCATTGATATCGATAAGTGCGGTAATAACTATTGTTAGTAAGCTGATAAGACGTTTATCTCACAACTCTAAGCAAAGCGACATTTCTTGTCGTTGCCCCGAATATGTGTGCTACCTTACTTATTCCCAGTACAGACCTGAGTCAAAGCTTTTGCTTCATATAATTCGTCAGTCAATCAAAACTGCCGTTTTTTGTTCTCTTCTTCTGCATAGGGTACCTTGCTGTAAATTTTGTTGTCTATTACATAAAGTATAACCTTGATAATTTTCGTTATCACCATTGATGGCTCTCCCTGTTTATTTCTGCCCTAAAAAACTTGCGATTTTTTTTGGCATCGAAGTCGCCTTCAGTGGAATGGTCTCTCGACTTCTCGACTTTTTGATGTCCACACATTTACAAATCTCCTCAAAAAACAGTGTATTTTTAGTGTCATAGACTATGGACTAACAAGGTTGTTCCTAAAGCATAATCTAATTTATTTTCGAGCTTGAATTTATACAACATCCACAAACCAATTTCATTGATTATCGTTCACTTCTCAGAATAACAATGGTTTGGTTGTGTGGAAATAGAAAAGCCGTTAAGCGATTCTACGAAAACCAGAAGAACCTTGTCGAAGCACTGAAGGAAGACGAGAAAATCCTCAACGCAGCTGTGGATCCAATTATAATACAGAAGGAGACAAAAAATAAGGTTGGTTGATTTAATATTTTGGTTGTTCTTTTAGCTCTTATGTTAATTCCTATCTCATCTATCTCATCCATGTACGATTCACAAAGAAGTATTTTGCTATCTGCTGTGCGCCTTTCAAACATCTTGAAAAAATTTTTGTCAGCAAAATTTGCACTGTTTTCACGACAGGATTCACTAGTATCGTTTGAATTTTAACTTACGCACTGTAAGATCGGAACTATTCGGTATATCAAAGGTCAAGAGACTTGAATACTGACGACTCTGTCTGCCTAGATCTCGTAAAATTATTATGGAAAAGTTGACCTGCTATGCAACTCCAAGTCTATTTACATTATCTGCTGTCGCGTTTCCAGCCGCAACTACTGGTATACATCTTACTGCGAAAAGCCACTGTTACTCTTGTAAGCATTGTAACCAGGGCCAAGCAAGAGGTGCGGCACGCGATCGCTGTTACGACCCCCCCTTCCTCTAATAGCTGTCTAAATAAGACCCCCTCCCTGAACTATATACCTAAGATAGCAGCAGATAATGTAAAGGCCCTGTTGTATTTGGAGGCCCTGTCAACAACGGGCAACTTATCCATTTAGCATGCCAATTAACCCCTGTAGACAATGTTTGAGTAAATTCTGAAGTTTCAAGATAGTGAGCCACCTAAACGCAATGGTCATTTTCCAACACGATTGAATTTGTTTGGAAGGTGAATTAGCTAACCGTTTTTGCACTCAAGACAAAGCACGACTCCTTCTTTGTCCACTCCTCAAATCCCCCTTCAAAAGCTTTTATATTGTGGAAATATAAGCCAACCAAGATCTCGTTTTTCCTAATCTTTGATGGCTGTGCTTTCATCAGATATTACTCAGAGCTAAGAAGACAAGTCAGGCTTAAATCATTCCTGTGGAATCTACGAGGTTTAAGCTATCGATTCATATAAATACTGTTCGCTAAAAATGTTTTTTTTTCAATATAGTTAATGGGGTGTGGCACAACCCCTAAAAAGTTGTGGCGACCACAGCCTTTAAGGGCTTGTGCCACACCCCATTAACTTACCTTCAAGTCATTCAAATCTTTGCGTTTCTAATATCGTTGCTACTGCTCAACCTTCTTCTTTGCATATTAGGACAACCATTTGAAATCTTCTCTTGTAGGGAAAGATATAATCGTTTTTCCTTACCTATGAAAATGAAAATTACTTGCGAAAATATTGGGTTACGGTAACATGCCTAGTCTGCGCTACTTTGTAAATCGCGATGAAGACGACAAGAATGAGTATATGTGATAGCCCAACTCTCGTAATTTACATTAAAGTGATTTGAGTCTGATTGGTCTTCTCTAGTCTGAGATATTTGAAAGCGGAAAATGGAACAAATGGCTTTTGGCTTGCTCGTAATTTCATAGTTTGGATGTTATTCGAAGTAGGATTCATAATGTGAGCAAAAAAGTAGCAGTTCTTTGTATTAAGTGCAGAAAGATGTAACTAACTCACCTTTGAAACGAAGGTACAGTAAGTTTCGACTCGCTTTAGGCGGAAATTGGATTGGCGGGAGTCCGCCTCGCAACAGCTCGCGCCGTTTCGCAGCTACAGTATATCCTATCGTGCTGAGAACCCATGTCTGCGTCTCTTTAATCTCCTTAGTCTCTGCTTGGCAAAATGCCAGCGCTATGCGCTCGCGAAGCTTCCAGCGATGCGCATGCGCTGCTCCACGTAGAATGTCTCGCCTAATCCGGGATGAAACTTACTGTAACATGTTTAAAAATGACTATCTCACTTGGATGGCCCAATATTCGGAAGCCTCAGAATTCGCTGAAACTTGCACATGGGTTATTTCACATTCTAGGAAAATGATGCTCTTATGATTAAAGTGCACTTATATCAGGCTTATGGTACGTATACGATGGTAGGCTAAAACATCGATATGCTGGTACTTTACACCGTGCCTAACTGACATTGTTAACGAAGTTCATGTTATCGCTAACATCAGCTCACCTCGATAACGACCCTCCCCCTTTCCGACCCTTCAATACGACCCCCCACGTGTGGCGTGCCACACCCCACGCTTGACCCTGCACACGATCGCTAAATACGCCCCACCCCCCTAACTGCTCTCTCAATAAAACCCCCGTACTATTGTAAAGATTTTATCAAGCATAACAAGTAATTAGTGGCTAGTCAGTAATCAGCCGAACTTCCACTAATCTGAGAAAACGACAGCCTAGTCATGCTTTTCAATAATCAGTATGAATAAAAAGGCATAATCAGGGCTGATTGTACCGCGGTTCATGGATCGGCAATTTCAAACGAAAACACACCTGCTGACCGCCGCTATTATAATCAAGATCTTCGAGATTAGCTAGAGGGACGTCGTTGAATCGGCTCTTGGGTGATTCCGTAGCACTCTAAACAGCCGTTAGCTACGAAGCGCATAAGGAAGGAATAAATGTAACTCAAGAGGGGATTAGCAGTAGCTTTTTATCACAATGACAATCTTGATCACATCTCTCCTTCCTTCAAGTCTAAGGGCGATCAAAATGCTAGCCTTGCAAAATCAAGAAAAGAAACTGAGCCTAACAACAGCATTTGTATCATGTAGTCTGCCCTACAATTGAGAGCCCTTTCTAGGACTAGTCTTTTTTGGCTGTCGTGGCTTCCTACAATGTTGCTTTCGCGATAGACAATGAATTCGGATTCATCCATTTTGCCCCAAGAGCTCCTGAGAGAATTCTCTGTATCTCTTTCTAAAATGCCTGAAAGCTGGCTATCCTTGCGTGTAAAGAATTTGAATATTTTTTGAAGACTTTCAGCGCAAATCAGCTATTCCCGCAATTTTAAGATCACAGGCCGGCTAATTTTTTGTAAGACATCCACAGATTTTTCTGGAAGGGTTTCAATGCGTCCTTTTATTCACAAAAATCTTCTGTTTCTCCCCTCATCTCGAGAAAACTTCTTTGGACCGTTTCTGAATTTTCTTTCCACTGCGCTCATAATTGTTCAAACGTTGCATCTCAGGTACCTTGCTTTCCGCGAACGCAAAATATCGTCTCAAATAAAAAAATTGAATCATCTGTAGTTAGCATAAACGTCAAAGCTAGCGATGTTGCAATTAAAATCTTAGATTTGGGACACTCGACTCAGCTCTTTCGCTGTTTTGGTTAACGTTGCTCTTATGATTGCTAAGACGACCGCCGTGTTACTATCGGACTCGCTTTCTGTTGTCGCATCTCTCGTGGATAGGTGGGTGTCAAATGTAAATGTTTACTGTATGTGTTTATGTACTACAGCGCAATGGATATCACTTCTGGAGTGGTGCTTTGGTACACATGTCATTTAATAGTAAAATCCAGTGCGCATCATTATCCCGTTGGTTTGAACAGGTGACTTTCCAAGCAGGGCATACTACGGTCATTATGTGAGTGATAATAAGTTGCTTGTAGACAATTTTAGGCTTGAGCCGCTTGCAACATTGATTATTGGTATGATCATGGTATTTTCCAATGTGTTCGTTCTCCAACAAGCTGCTGTAGACTGCATCAGTGGTAATGTAAGTGCGATTCTAAGTGTGATTCCTGGGGCTAGAAATAACTTTTGATGTTGAACTCTTAAAACAAAAATCAAAGAATCAGACTATTTAGGTCCATCCCAGAGTTGATATACCAACGCTAGTTATTCTGTGCTCTGGAACAGCTGTAAAAGCAGGTGAGGCAATCACGTCTGTGCTTCTGTACGAATAGTGCATGACCTAGTGCTGTTTATCATCTGTCGCTCGAGAAAAACAACAGCTAGTCGTGTGCTGACCATTGATCAGCGTAACGATTGCATCACAAATCTTGTAGCCCTAGCGGGCGCTTACTTGGGAGATGGCTGGTGGCCATATGCAGACCCAATCGGAGCATCAGTTGTAAGGTGAGCTCTCAACTACTGAGGGTTATGAACTTATAAGTCTTGTAAAACCTAATTGTCCACTCCGTGTCTTAAACACCAGCGTAAGCGAACGGTCGCCGCAAAGGACTGTAGGCGTCCAATATTTTTCGAATTTTCCGCCAACTTCCGTGTCGTTTTCAACAATGTAAAGTATTTTTTGACAAAAACTTCCTTCAAAAGCTTACAAAAATGGAGTTGGCATCCCGGGTTCCACCCCGGTTCGAAGCCATGCATCGTGCTTGACCTTCCATGTAGTAGAACTTATCCTTCCTCTAATTCCGACTCGTCTTGGATTTGTTTTCAACCGTCCGTACCATACTCGATGACCAGCAGATCAAAATGAGCTTCACGTTCATCCTTCATGACTATGCGAAATGTGCACAAACATATAGATTTTCTGCTTTATATACATAGAGATGGGTGAAATCGGTGCGCACTCATTGTCGCTTGTAACAAGCCTGCATATAGCGTTACGGGATTCAACGTTTCCAATTCTCCCCCCTGGGCAACTAAATTTCAAAGGGCCTGTACCCTCCTCGCACAGCATAGCATCGTTGTCACTGAGTTACACCGAGGGTCAAGCAAGAGGTGTGGCACACAATCGCTGGTTACGCCCCCCCCTCCCTCTCGTTGCTGTCTCAATAAGACCACCCGAACTATATATCTAAGATAGCACTACTTGAAGGCCCAAACATAACGGGCAACATATACATGATTAGCATGTTAATTAACCCCTGTAGTCAATGTTTGAGCGAGTTCTGTAGTTTCAAGATACTGGGTCACTTAAGTAAAATCGCCATTTTCCAGCATAATCAACTTTGTTTCAAAGGTGAAGTAGCTGCTAGCTGTTTTTGCACTCAAGACAAAGCGCTACTCCTTCTTTGGCCACTTCAGAGATCTCGTTTCGAAAGACTTCTCAACTTTGGAATTAGAAGCCAACCAAAATCTTGTTTTTCCTATTTTTCGCCTTTAATGGCTGTGCTTCCAACAAATATTACTCAGAGCTAAGAAGATGAATCAGGCTCAAATCGCTCCTATTCTACGAGGTCTATCGATTCGTATAGATAAAGTTCGCTAAAAATGTTTTTTTTATATATTTAATGGGATGTGGCACTACCCCTAAAAAGCTGTGGCTGCCACAGCTTTTAGGGGTGGTGCCACATTCTATTAACTTACCTTCAAACAGATCAAACAGCTGCGTTTTTTATATCGTTGTCACTGCTTAAGTTTTTTCTTTGCATAGCAGAAATTTCATATGAAAACGTTTCTTCAAGAGAAGATATGATCGTTTTTCCTTACCTATGCAAGTGCAAAATACCGATGAAATACTGCGAAAATATTGGGATACGGTAACATGCTGAGTTTGCCTACTACGTGAATCGCAAGGGAAAGCGACAAGAATGTATATATTCGATAGCCTAAGCCTCGTAATCTACACTAAAGTGATTTGAGCCTGATTGGTCTTTTCTAGCCTGAGATATTGAAAACGAAAAATGGAACAAACGAGATTTTAACTTGCTCTTAATTCCTTAGTTTGGAGATCATATGAAGTAGGATTCCTAATGTGAGCAAAGAAGTAGTAGTAACTTACCTTTGAAACAAAGTAACATGCTTGAAAACGACCATCTCACTGAGGTGGTTCTGTATTTGAAAATCTCAGAATTCGCTGAAATTTGGACCACAGGAGTTATTTTACTTGCTAATTACAAAACGATGCTCTTATGCTTTATAGATCTTTAATTATGCTTACTGTACGTATATGATTATGGGTCAAACATCAATGTGCTAGTATTTTGCATGACGCGCCCATTTGACATTGTTAACGAATATCATGTTATGCGAACAGCGGACACTTAATAACGACCCCCCCTCCTGATTCCTAAATACGACCCCCAAGTGTGGCATGCCACACCCCACACTTGACCTTGGTTGTGATTCCCGAACAAGCAATACAGAAGAGCGAATTTGATTTATTTCGGTATTTTTCTCCATTCTTCCATTTTCAGCACACAAATTTTTGTTTCTATTGCGCTGTTTCCAAGGTGGATTTCATGAATAAGATCATTAGGTGAAACAAGAACCACTATTTTGAAGGTTTGGGTTTCGCTGTGGTTAGAGCCTTTGTTGTGACAATTTCCGTATACTGGACAGGCTTTTTTAAGCGTAAATACTTAACGTTCTTGCGTTCTGATCTTGTTCTTGTAGAGTAGAATTATTAGTTTCCCCATGTTCTAGCGTTCTCTCGCCTGTCTTGATCAAAAAATGTCGCGAGGCCTTGCTCGGCGATGTTCTGCGCTTTTGAAACAATCTTGTTCAAATTGTTACAATACCTAGTGAGAAGCGCTTTTTGGGAATTCGAGGTTATTGGTCCTGCCATAATCAAAAATAATTTTTTTGTTATAGCGCAAATCATAAAGGTACTGAACAGATGATTCAGATTTTCTTTTCTCTCTCAATTGCTTTGTTTAGATGGCACACTGTGCATATGTAGATATAACCTCGCTTAATCCAACAAAATTTAAAATGTGCAAAAATGTTGATTTTGAAAGGAGTCATAACATTTATAATCAGAAGATCTGCGAATCGGACAGAACTTTCGGAACAACTAATATAAGATACTAGATGGCTTACCCGGCTCCGCCCGGCCCTGTCATTATTTTATTCGTAATCAGCATGCTCGATTACCCCCCTGTACCAACTCCCAGAACCGTAGCTCAAATTTTGGAAAAAAGTCGATAAAATCGATATCGATCGATGACGAAAAGTAGCCTATGACACCCGCCGGGGCCCGAAGTGTATGTGTGCCAAGTTTGGTCCGGATCGGTTCAGAAATGGAATTTTCTATTCGGAACATGCGTAAAGACATACAGACAGACATACAGACAGACAGACAAACAGACATTCAGCTTTATATACAGGGTGTCCCAAAAAAATGTTAACACTGTTTGATCATTAGTAACTCCCTTGCTTTCATGTCTTTCGCCAAGCTTGAGGCACCATTGTGTAGAGCGAGGATCAGCTTAGATTTGTAGTATGGAGCGAAACACCGTTTGCTCTTCGTTACTGTAGGATTACGGTAAGAACTTCCAGCATGTGGAACCGTTGTGAAATATGCCATCTGACAAAATTTTTTTCAAAAAATCCGAAAAATTGTACACTAGGGTTTTCGCGCACGCTGATTCCACTACACAACTTTCTACGAGTGTTTTCGGCTTTTTGACGGGGTAACCACATTTTTGACACATGCTGGGAAGTCAGTTATTACAGCTTACCTAGGACTTTGAAAAGAAGCATCATAGTAAAGTAAGAATTTCATATTCGGAGTCAGCAGCTTCCATTACCATAGTACAAAAGATTTTGGCTTGTTTGGCTCTGTTTCGAGGCAGAAAATGACCTTTGACGGCCTAAAATCTTTGTCGAATTTCCTACCGTAATCCTACAGTAACGAAAAGCAAACGGTGTTTCGCTCCATACTATGAATCTAAGTTGATCCTCGCTCTACACAATGGTGCCTCAAGCTCGGCGAAAGACATGAAAGCACGAGAGTTATTAACGATCAAACAGTGTTAACATTTTTTGGGACACCCTGTATAAGATATTAGTTTGGCCCGAAAGTTCTGTCACATGATTTCCAGAAATTCGTAACATTTGAATTTACCATTCAATTTGCTTGCTTCTATTGTTTGAGAGTGCAAGTCCTTCTCTTCACAGAGGTGCCTTAGCATCTTCCTTTAAGCCCACACTGCATAGATAGAAACGGAAGAAGAAAGTTACTCAAATTACTCAAATTTTGATTATTTTGTGTAGGGTCTACTGGACAGGCTTTCTTAAGCGTAAATCATACCTGACGTTCTTGCGTTCTGATGGAATGTTTTGGGTAGGTTCATGCAATTCCTCTTCTTCTTGTAGAGTAGAACTATTAGTTTCCCCATCTTCTAGAGTTCTCTCGCTTATCTTGATCAAAAAATGTCGTGAGACCTTGCTCAGCGATGTTCTGCGCTTTTGAAACAACTTTGTTCAAACTGTTATAATACCTAGTGAAAAGCGCTTCTTGGGATTTCAAGGCTATTGGTCCTGCCATAATCAAAAATAATTTTTTTGTTATAACGCAAAGATGACATCAATTGGATGAGAAATGTCAAACAGCGCAAAAGCAATGACAAATGAAAAAATACCAAACAGCGCAAAAAGGTAGTACCGAAAGTTTTATTTAGCGCAGGTACATTAGGGTACAAAAACGTCCCGCATTGTTTTTTGGTGTTTTTTTTTCTTTCTTTTGCGCAAAAGAAAAAAATATAAAGAAATGCAGAATGCGAAAAACCTCATATGAGCAAGCAACAAAAAGAGAGCGCAAAAAGGAGCGCTGGAATGAAAATAAGGGCACGACGGTGTCTGCCCTTCCTTATGTATGAGGAGGCAAACTCAACAAACAACTGTTTAACATAGTGTTTTGACAGTGCCGGGCGAAGTCGGGTATGCCAGCTAGTTTAAAATAAATATTCGAATGTTAATTCCTTCAAAAATCAAAATGTTCGAATAATCAAGTAATCGAATAGATTCAAAAATGGTAGTTTTCGAGTAGGCGAATATTGAATATATTCGGGATTGAAAGTTTTCGAGTAATCGAATTTCGAAGATACATTATTTGAATACTTTTCGAGTACTCGAATATTTATCCGATTTGATCCAAAGTATAGTTACGCATACGACATCTTTATTTTCAGTGGAGTCATAATAATTACATGGATCATGACAGTCAAAGAGCAGGTGCCGCTACTGATTGGAAGAACAGCCAGTCCGCAGCTAATTAATCGCATAATCAACGTACGTTGTGCAAAGAGAGAATTGCAAACGAATGAGAGTGTTATCCATATATGTCTATGTATACAGGTTGCAATAAGTCATGACGATCAAATTAAGCATTTGGAAACGGTGCACGTTTACCACTTCGGAGCTAACTTCTTGGTGGAGCTGCATGTGGTTAGCTTGAGAATGATTTTTGTAAAACAATCTGATTATTTTCCTATGACCATCAGGTTATGGACGGCAATACCACCCTTTTTAAAGCACATGATGTGGCTGAGTCACTGGAAAACAAGTTGGAACAGCTTTCTTTTGTGGAAAGAGCGTTTGTCCATTGTGACTATCAACCTGGTGGAGAAGAGCATATTCGGCCACGTCTTTGCTCGTCTCGGTCATAATAAATTTGTGGTGTCTTACTAATTTCATCTCTATTCACTGCACATTTCATTAAAAATCGTGAAATGTCATTGAAGTGGTTTTGCTTTTTTCTACTACTTCTTGCAACCCTCAACAACAGCTCGTGGTGGTACTGTGTGTCCCAACGTTGGAAGTCGTGGCGGTTGGCCCGTTGGCAGCGTTCGCAGCGTTCGCGTATGTATCGTTTGAGCATTTTGCCGGTCGATCAGGTGCGCCACTCGGATCCGCAGTCCCCTCACTCGTTTTTTTGACGATTCCGGCTCTTATCCTTTAGAAATAAACATTTTAATCTCTTCCTTGCCTAATTTTTAGCTGTATTGGTGTCTATATTTTGCAGTCATTTAAAGAGTTGCTTGTTTTGCTAATGGTCTTACACTTTCGCTAAGTGTAGGTTCCTGGAGTATTTTTTCTCGTTTTTTCGTACCTTTCAATAACTTTTGTAAAGATTGTTCATTTAGGATCGACTCCGTTGTTGGTCAGCCAACATCTGCAGAACATACAGCCTTTCTTGTTACCGTAGAGAAGGTCCATAGGTTGCCTGCAACTGTGTCCTTGCCGAGGTTGCCGGCGTGCCGGGGCAGAGACAGTTTTTCAGATAATCGCCGGGGCAGGTGGCCATGCGATTTATGGGCAAGCGGGCACTGGAAAAACAGTTGGACTGATTTCTTGCGGTCCGCTTGCAGATATTTGGAAGAATGTTGGCCACTTTTCGGACGAACGCTCAGAGAACAGTTGTCGCCTATCCAAGGATTCAATGTGGGGCAGTGGCCGCATCCCCGTGGACTGTCCGCGAGAATATGCAAAATTGTTGAGGGCCGCACGGTCCTCTGTGAAGAACCGCACAGCCCGTATTTCCGCTGAGAGAAGGTATCCCGAACTTGGATAATTAGACCATCGATGACAACTCTGCTACATAGAGTCTCACCTTCTCAGATAATCGCCGGGGGCAGGCGGTCCGCAAACTCGCGCTTTTCTGCAGGCGGTCAGCAGAATTTTGGGGCGCGGCCAAACCTTCAGCGGGCGGTAGTTCCGCGTTCTGCCAGCGGGCAGCAATGCAGAATTTTCTGCGAGCGCTCGTCAAATAATATCTTCCAGCGAGCGCTGGCCAAACTTTCAGCAAGCGCTCGGACTCTCTTTTTAGGTATTTTCGGGCGTACGTCGAGCGCAGGTAAGACTCTGTGTGGCAGAGGTGTTATCGTTGGTTTAATTACTCAAGTTTGAGGTACTTTCTCTCAGCGTAGTACCTGGGGGTTGCGCGGTCCTCCACAAAGGACCGTGCGGCCCTCGAAATTTTTGCATATTTTCGCGGAAAGTCCGCGAGAATGCGGCCACTGCGCCGCACCTAATCCATAAAGAAACCGCGATTGTTCTTCAAGCATTCGTCTTTAATTTCGCCAACTTTCTTCCAAATTTCTGCAAGCGGGCCGCAAAAAATCAACGAACTATTTTTCCGGTGCGCGCTTGCTCAAAATTCGCATGGCCGCCTGCCCCCGGCGGTTATCTGAGTTTGCTCGGTGTGCGCCTGAAACTGGTAAAAAAGAGTCCGAGCGCCTGCTGAAGGTATGGCCAGCGCTCGCTGGAAGAAATTGTCTGAAGAGCGCTCGCAGAATATTCTGTATTGCTGGCAGAACACGGAAGTACCGCTCGTGAATGTTCAAAATTTCTAACTCTCTGACTCAAATAATCGCCTGCCCCCCGGAGATTATCTGAGTTAGAGAGCGCCGAAACGTGGAGGCTATCATGAAGTCCTAGAACGACCGGCACCGATGGCAACCTCGGCAACCTCGGACACACTTGCCGGAAACCGCTGGGCGTTCCCGTAGGTGACAGGATGAACGAAACTGATAAAAAAAATGAAGTTGTCTAAGCAATGACTGCAAGTCCTGCACCTTCTCAGATAATCGCCGGGGGCAAGCGGCCATGCGAATTTTGAGCAAGCGGGCACCGGAAAAATAGTTCGCTGATTTTTTGTGGTCCGCTTGCAGAAATTTGGAATAATTTTGGCCAATTTTTAGACGAACGCTCGAAGATCTAACGCGGTTTTTCTAAACATAGGTTGCGGCACAGTGGCCGCATTCTCGCGGATTTTCCGCGAGAACATGCAGAATTATTGAGAGCCGCACGGTCCTTCTTGAAGGACCGCGCAGCCCTCAGGTACTTTCCGCTGAAAGAAAGTACCCCAAACTTGGGTAATAAAACCATCGATGGCACCTCTGCCACATAGAGTTTCATCTTTTCTCGGCGTACGCCCGAAACTGCGTAAAAAGAGTCTGGGCGCCTGCTGAAAGTTTGGCCAGCGCTCGCTGAAAGAGATTGTTTGACGAGCGCTTGCAGAAAATTTTGTATTGATGCCCGCTTGCAGAAAACGCAAATACCACCCGCTGAAGATTTGGCCACGCCCCGAAATCCTGCTGACCGCCTGCAGAAAAGCGCGAGTTTGCGGACCGCCTGCCCCCGGCGATTATCTGAGTTATAGCTGTTACTCCCTTCGATGCATCAACCAAATAAAAATGCTGGCCCAGCAAATTAGGACTAAACCGATCGTGAATGAACTAATGAGATTTAGTCATAGAATAAGGACCGAAACTTCGAAAAATACTGGAGAAATGGTCAAAATAGGAAGAAAACGAGTGAGGAGACGGCAGGCACCAAGCGAAGCACCAATCGAAATTTGGTGTAATGCCCCCAACGATACTTCGGCGAACGCACAAGCCCGAACGAGGCCCGCGATGACTAGAACTGCGGCTGCATTGACACTCACTTTGGAATGCCATGTACTCAGATAATCGCCTGGGGCAGGCAGCCATGCGATTTATGGGCGGGTGGGCACCGGAAAAATAGTTCGCTGTTTTCTTGCGGTCCGCTTGCAGATATCTGGAAGAATTTTAGCAAAATTGGACGAATGCTTGGAGAACAATCGCGGTTTCCTTATAGATTAGCCTTTCCGCGAGGACTTTAGGACTTTCCGCGAGAATGTGCAAAATTTTCGAAAACCGCACGGTCTCTTGTGGAGGACCGCGCAGCCCCAGGTACTTTCCGCTGAGAGAAAGTACCTCAAACTTGAGTAATTAAACCATCGATGACACCCCTGTCATGTAGAGTCTCACCTTTGTCCGGCGTACGCCCGAAACGCTTAAAAATCGTCCGAGCGCCAGCAGAAAATTTGACCGGCGCTCGCTGAAAGAGATTATTTGACGAGCGCCTGCAGAACATTCTGTGTTGCTGCCCGCTGGCAGAACATTAGACAGTAAAGGAAGTAGCATTCGCTGAGGGTTTGGCCACGCCCCAAAATTCTGCTGACCGCTTGCAGAAGAGCGCGAGTTTGCGGACCGCCTGCCCCCGGCGATTATCTGAGTAGGTGCAGGTGTAGGACCTGGCCTGGTGACCTTAACGTTGGTGCAAACGTTCTGTGACACCATTTTTGAATGTAACTTCATGCTCACTCAGTGGATTTGCACCAAAATTATAGTGATGGGGAAAGCATGTTCTTTCCGAATGATAGTACCTTTGCTGTTCTCTAATAAAAGGTAGCTTTTGATATAGAAGCAAGAGAATAAAAATTTGGTCTTCAACTTCTGCCTTTGTCTATTCAAGTTAGCCTGCTAAAAAGACGCAAGGTAAGTCTTTTAATCCACCCTTTTACTGTACAGAACTCATGTCGAATGAGCATCTCTGTCGAAAGTTCAGATTTTTTGGATAAGCAGTACAAAGAAGCAAATTTGATTTTTTTTAGTTTTTCTTTCGAAAATCATAACTCATCACAAAGCTGCTCATTTGATACAAACTCTGTAATTTTGCAAGGGGTTGATCAAAAGGTTTATTTTGCCGCTTGCCTTGAACTTTATCACAGGTTTCAGCTTTTTAGCAGCCCAACCTGAAATGACTGATGAAATTTTATTCTCCTGCTTTTATTTCAACAGCTCCTTTTGTTAGACAGCAGCAAAGATACTATTACAAAGAATATGATTCTAATTAGACATCAAACTCGTGTAAATCGTTAGGTGAACAAGAGGTTATGATCATCAGAACTTTTGCAGCAACCTCATAGGTGGTCAGTGGCCTTGCATCTGAAAAAGGTGCACAGCAAGCTAGATTTGTCCTTGACAGAAATGTAATATGAAAAACAGTTCTTTGTTCTCTATCAACAATGACAAGGCTATCTCAGTTGGATCAAGTGGGTTTGGCTTAGTGAGGCCGCTAATTATTTGTTTGATTATATCCTCTTAAAATGGTTTCAAAGAAGAATGGAAGAGAGAGGAGGGCACAAGAGGCTAAATCTCGTAATTCCTTTCTCTTTGCCCTGAATCCACGAAAATTCACCGATTTATTCCAAAAAAATGTGCTAACGATGGCGAGGCTTCCTGCTACAGAATACCTTTTTGAATAAAATTGTCTAAAAAATTCCGAACTGAGCCTCGCACATATGGGTTGTCGCTGAGGTTTTTTTTTCGCTGTCTCTTCTGTGCCGTGTAAGAATCTTGAAAAAACGAACCATTCGCACTATACATCAAGGGGTAGGCCCAGTACGTTACTTACTCAAATGCTTCGATGGCCCGTTCTCACGTGACGTGCGGGCCCCAGTACAGAAAAGTCCATTGATCCCTGTCCCTCGCTTCGGACATTCACAATCTTCTTTGTCGTCGGTGGCTGCGTCCACGAATTCCAGGGGCGAAAATCGTATACAACTGATTTCTCAGCTGGTCCATCCGTTCCACGAACACGTCTGCCCATCACGTTGGAGGTCTTCCTCAGAGACGTTTCGCTTTGCGAGAAATCCGTCCAATGTTTTAGTGTCCATCTTTCGTCTGTTCTTCTCATGACGTGAGGCCTATCGATGTTTTGCATTCGCAAGGTATTCCGCTGCGTCACGAAGACAGGACATTCTTTTCAAATCTGTACTGCGAAATTCGGCAAGATGCTGCTTGTGTCGGGTTATCTTCAGAAGATTGCGCTCGAACGCTCTGTGTATGGTCCGTAGAGCTTTCGAAGTGGCTACAGTGCTGACCCAAGTCTCAGGGCCGCATGCATTAACATCCCCACTGGGGAAGGGATCGCAGCTTACAAAAAAAGCTTCATGTTTAGAAGCTCCGAACTTCTGGATTTTACGCTGCCTACATATCCGTAAGTATTCCTACCATCTTTCACTATAAACATATTGAACAGGAGCGAAAAGCTGTACAATCCGCATCTTCAAGCATTTTGTATGATCGCCTGATGATCCCCGGCGACCAACCTCTTTCCTTCAAGTCACTTTTGTTTTTTCGAAGTTAACGAAAACCTTCCAAAGTTGTAGTTAACATCTAACAAAACAGTACTAAACATGTTTCTGGTAAGAGCAGATGAGTTTTTGAAAAATATTTTTAATAACCCCCACATTATTGTGGTTCATAGCAAATTTCATGACTCCAATACATCATTTCTTTTTACCAGCAACATGCTTAGCACTGTCGGGCTAGATGAACAGTCTCTTTGGAATGTTTTCGCTAACTTTAAACTAACTAACTAACTCTAACAAAGTTAGCGAAAACATTCCAAAGTTGGACTGTTCATCTCTAACAGTGTTAAGCATGTTGCTGATAAAGACAAATGATGTATTGGAGTCATGAAATTTGCTATGAATCACAATAATGTTGAGGTTATTGAAAACCAATGCGCCACCTCTGCTTCGCAGAGTTCGCACTGGCTTTACTATCCGTACCTTCTTCGTTATAGCATAATAATGACTTTGAAACTCATCGTGCGATGCTGAACAACACGAATAAATTGCAAACAACCATTCATTTTCAGAGCTTTTCCATGTAAGATCGGTAATTTTGGGAGAAAAAATTTTCTCGCAGAAAAACAAATGCGATTTTGAATAAGTTACTGGATTTATTTTGGCGTTATAGGCGCCATAAAGATAAATACCACCTTGAGCTACATATGGCGACAATAGGCCTACTCAAAAATCCTCTCAATTTTCATAGTAAAAAGTTGGCAAATCGACAGTTTGCTCAGTTACAACTTTTTGGCGCCAATTTTGTGTAAAAATAGACTTTTTGCTTACTTTTTGAGGTAAAGTCAGTGTTTTTCGGATTTACTTGCTGAACAAATCCACGACTTTGCAAGAAGTCTAATTACCGATCCATTTTGGCGGGCCAAAAGTCGCGTGGATCCGTTTGACGCACAGTTTTCGATGGTTCTTACTGGATCGGTTTGTGATTTTGCACAGTTTACCTACACGCTGACAGGGTGATATGACCAAAATTCTCGATCAAGACGCTGGCTGCAACTCACTCTGTGAATTTCGTGACAGACAGATATACACACACAGACAAACAGACAGACGCTTAGCGCTTTATTATAAGTCATGATATTTGTCAAAAATCTGTTTCATCTGTTTTTTTATTATAAAATATATGAATTAATTTTTATTATAAAATATATTAGGTTGGTTCATAATTAATGCACGTTTTGAATTTCAACCGCAATAAGTCATACATTTTTCATTCTTATATAGGCTTCAAAGTACCGTTGGATAGAGCAAAGCAAGCTCTACAAGATGGTACTCATTTCTTTGCGCCATGCTCGATCCACGGAGAGTTCGAACTCAAAATCTAAAGATTTCCAAATGCCCGAAAAATCGAGAAAAAAATCAGATCTTCGTCCAAATAATTTCTACGGACCTCCCAATCGCTCACATCAATACTATCGATATCTGATATCCATATGTGCGATTGCCGTATTTTTCCCTTGACTAGAAATTGAGATAACGAAAAATTTCCTGATTTTCTCAAAGCAATGCTGAGCCGTTTTTGCATATGTAGTTCTATACTACAAGCCTAGGTAAGCATAAGTGTAGGTTTTCAGCCTATTTCGAACGGTACTTTTCGAGAAATGTCGATTTTAGCACTGAAACTGAAACGAAAAAATCCGAATTTGTTATTTTTCGAAAACTACCGCTTGGAATGGGCTGAAAATCTACAGTTATACTTACCTAGGCTTGTAGTATAGAACTACATATGCAAAAACGGCTCAGCATTGCTTTGAGAAAATCAGGAAATTTTTCGTTATCTCAATTTCTAGTCAAGGGAAAAATACGGCAATCGCACATATGGATATCAGATATCGATAGTATTGATGTGAGCGAGTGGGAGGTCCGTAGAAATTATTTGGACGAAGATCTGATTTTTTTCGATTTTTCGGGCATTTGGAAATCTTTAGATTTTGAGTTCGAACTCTCCGTGGATCGAGCATGGCGCAAAGACATGAGTGCCTTCTTGTAGAGCTTGCTTTGCTCTATCCAATGGTTCTTTGAAGCCTATATAAGAATGAAAAGTGTATGACTTATTGCGGTTTGTCGCACTATTTTTAAAAAATCATAACTTCTTTCGGTCACAACGATTTGGCGCCATTCAAATTTTGTCTGAAAGCGTAAAGCGTTTAGTTTCCAAAAGCTCCCTGGAGAGTTTCTGACATGCTCAGGTGGCAGAGATAAAAATGAAAGAACGAGATCATTCGAAATTCGGAATTTTTAAGCAAGAATTCTAAAAATTCAGAAACTGTGCGATAAAATCCAGAAAAGCCATTATCCTGATTTTTCTTACATTTGATTACTATCTGAGTCAAGTGCTGATCGAGCCCTTCTTTCAAAAGTTATGACTCTTTGAAAAATAATGCCGAAAAATCAATTTCCTAAGAATTCTTGAGAAACGGATTTTTTGGCATTCTTTTCAAAAATTCATAACTTCTGAAAGAAGGGCTCGATCAGCGCAAACTTGACTCAGATAGTAATCAAATGTAAAAAAAATTAGGATAATGGCTTTTCTGGACTTTATCGCACAGTTTCTGAATTTTTAGAATTCTTGCTTAAAAATTCCGAATTTCGGATGATCTCGTTCTTTCATTTTTATCTCTGCAACTTGAGCACCTTGGAAAGTCCTTAGGAAACTCTTGGAAGCTAATTGCTTTACGCTTTCAGAAAAAATTTGAATGGCGCAAAATCGTCGTGACCGAAAGAAGTTATGATTTTTTGTAAATGGTGCGACAGAACTTTCGGTTCAACCTAATATAAACTAATTATAAGTTTTGAAAAATATTGAAAATAATTTTCAAAATTTCATCTGTTCTTACCAGCAACAAGTTTAGTACTGTTTTGTTAGATGTTAAGTACAACTTTGGAAGGTTTTCGTTAGATTCGAAAAAACAAAAGTAACTTTGAAGAAAAGATGGTCGGTCGCCGAGGATCATCAGGCGATCATACAGAATGCTTGAAGATGCAGCTTGTACAGCTTTTTGCTCGTGTCCAATATGTTCATAGTGAAGGAAGGTAGGAATACTCACGGGTAAGTGTACAGCGTGAAATTCAGATATCTGGAGCTTCAGGATATGAAGCTTTCTTTTTAAGCTGCGATTCCCTCCCCAGTGGAATGTCAATGCATGCGGCCCTCAGCTGCGTAACAGAGCCGGAAGAACGGTTCAGTCCAATAAGTGAGCACGAAGCTCCGGTCCGTCAGTCGATCGATGACTTCTTCAGAGGCTCGAAAGCGGCCAGGGTGCCTTCTTTTCTTGTTAAATTCTTCCCTCAAGTCGTTCTTCATGTTCGTCAAACGTCTGATCCTTACTATAATATACATTCGATCCTTTCAAGCGCGACGGCAGAGTTTTCTGCGTCCCTCCTATCCTTAACCCCAGCGTGACGGAGGGTCCAGTTGCTGAAGAAATCCAGAAAAAGGAATGCGAATATAACGGCGCTTAGTGATGGCGAGAGGAGAGGCCAGTAGCCATTATGCCGGCGAGAGATTCGCTCGCACTATGGGTCCCGGGGCGGAGCGGACATTTTCCAACATTGAGCTAAGCGGCTAAAATTTGGCACAGGGGTGTATGTGTGAAGGCTGATCACAAAAATAATACATTTCAGGATTATCGATTACCTAAATATAGGTAGTCACGGTATATAGGTAGTCATTATTCTGGGCGAGAGATTGTTGTTGTGTTTCTGTCACACTGGCTCTCGCCGATGGGGTACGAAGAAGGTTATTGATCGCTTGTGTCATTTTGTACTGTCGTGCACGCATGCAAGCAGTATTTTGTTACCTATTGGAGGTCACGGCTCTTATTTGACTCTTCATGGGACATTTTTTCACAAAAAGTTAACCTTCTGTGGACTAGAGCCTTCCGCACAAATATCAGCAAAATACCCACTAAACTCTGCCTTACAGAACAACTATGCTAAAAATTTGGCTTCCTCAGCGGAAGACTGAGCATTCAATTAATTTTGGCCCGGATGGGCGGCAAAATCGGCATTCTCTGAAGTGGGGCCTCATTTTGAAAGCTTCATTCTCTTTTCCGCTCGAATCCCATATGTAACCACGAAAAACTCACCTATTGGGATATTGCTAACAAGCTAATTTTGGTTTTCTAGCGATAAACTGAGCATTTAAGCAAATTTTTCAAGGGAATTTCAGTTCGTGAGCATCCAGATTCAACGCTTTGTGTAACTGGAGATCCATCACGTAAGTTTCCATCCCCTTTTCCTCAAAGTTCAGTTCAGAGAAATTCGCGAAAAACTCGTTTTTTGCTCAACTTTCCTAGCGGCGAACTGAGCCTTCAGTCAGGTTTTGAGGGATCAGAGTTCGCGAGCATTCAAAATTGATTTTGGTTCCAAGGCCGGTAAAAAACCATATTTGTGATGGATTTCGTTTTAAAATTTTCATCCTTTTTTTCCTCAGAGTTCAGAGAAATTTGCGAAAAACTCGTGTTTTGCTGAACTTTCCTTGCGGCAAACTGAGCCGTCAATCAGGTTTTGAGGGAAGATAGTTTAGCATTCAACTGATTTTGGCCCCAGGGCCGACAGAAAGTGCTATTTGTGGAGTGGGGTTTCGTTTTCATAGGTTTTATCCCTTTTTTGCTGAATGGTCAGGGAAATTCCAAAAAAGCTCATTTTTTCAAATATTGTTGAACCTTCCTAGCGGCGAACTGAGCCTTCACTCAGGTTTTGAGGGATCAGAGTTCGCGAGCATTCAAAATTGATTTTGGTTCCAAGACCGGTGAAGAACGATATCTGTTGAAGTTTTCATCCCCTTTTTCCTCAAAGTTAGAGAAACGCGAAAAACTCGTTTTTTTTATGAACTTTGCTAGGGCGAACTGAGAATTCAGTCATGTTTTGAAGGGGATAGTTTTGCGTTCAACTGATTTTGGCCCCAGGGCCGACAGAAAATGCTATTTGTGGAGTGGGGTTTCGTTTTCATAGGTTTTATCCCTTTTTTGCTGAATGGGCAGAAAAATTCCAAAATAGCTCATTTTTTGAGTATTCCTAAACCTTCCTAGCGGCGAACTGAGCCTTCAGCCAGGTTTTGAGGGGGATAGTTCTGCATTCAATTGATTTTGGCCCCGGGGGCCGACAGAAAATGCTATTTGTGGAGTGGGGTTTCGTTTTCATAGGTTTTATCCCTTTTGCTGAATGGTAAGAGAAATTTTAAAATAGCTCATTTTTCGAGTATTTCTAAACCTTCCTAGCGGCAAACTGAGCCTTCAGCCAGGTTTTGAGGGGAGTTAGAGCTCGCGAGCAAAATTGATTTTGGTTCCAAGACCGGTGAAGAACGATATCTGTGAGTGGGGTTTCGTTTTGAAGTTTTCATCCCCTTTTTCCTCAAAGTTAGAGAAACGCGAAAAACTCGTTTTTTTTGTTGAACTTTGCTAGCGGCGAACTGAGAATTCAGTCATGTTTTGAGGGGAAGAGTTTTGCATTCAACTGATTTTGACCCCGAGGGCCGACAGAAAATGCTATTTGTGGAGTGGGGTTTCGTTTTCATAGGTTTTATCCCTTTTTTTCTGAATGGGCAGAGAAATTCCAAAATAGCTCATTTTTTCGAGTATTCCTGAACCTTCCTAGCGGTGGTCTGAGCCTTCAGTCATGTCTTGAGGGGAGATAGATTTTACTAAGGGCCGCATGCACTAACCTCCCCGCTGGGGAGGGGATCGCAGCTCAAAAGAAAGCTTTATATTTCGAACTTCAGTTACCTGGATTTCACATTGTGTACCTATTCCGTAAGTATCCCTACTACCCTTCACTATGAACATGTTGAACAGGAGCGAGAAGCTGTACGAACCGCATTTTCCAGCTTTTGTATGATCCGTGATGATTCCCGGCGCTTTTCTTTGAAGTCATTTTTCTTTCTCCGAAGTAAACGAAAACCTTCCAAGGTTGTACTGAACATCTAACACAACAGTGCTAAGCATGTTGCTGATGAGAACAAATGAGTTTTTGAAAAGTCGAGTTTTTCGGTAAACCTCAAATTTCGACCTGTGGATCATCGAAAATTTTATGAGTTCAAAACATCATTTGTTCTCATCAGCAACATGCTTAGCACTGTCGGTTTAGATAATCTGCACAACTTTGGAGACTTTTCGTTAACATCGGAGAAAGAAAAATGACTTTAAAGAAAAGCCCGGGGATCATCAGGGATCATACAAAAGCTGGAAAATGTGGTTCGTACAGCTTCTCGCTCCTGTTCAGCATGTTCATAGTGAAGGGTAGTAGGAATACTTACGGATCGGTACACAACGGGAAATCCAGGTATCTGGAGTCTCGAAATATAAAGCTTTCTTTTAAGCTGCGATCCTCTCGCCGCGGGGATGTTAGTGCATGCAGCCCTAAATGTGCTTTGTACGCAAGCAAGTCCTGCGAATGAGCGAATCCTGCTGTTGTGGAAGGAAAACGCTGAGGGGCTTTTGGAATTCTAGGTTTCAAAACTGGGCCGAAAGATGCAAAGAGCAGGGCCAAATTGGTCTCGCTGGCAAATCAAGGAATTTTTGCGTCAAGACACTTTGATTTCTTGAGCTTCACAGATAAATATCAAAAAAAACTTTGCCGAAAGATGCTTTTGAGGTTGCCTTCCCAGAAAAAACCTGCTTTTGCTTAAGAAAAAGAGAAAAGAGCAGGGCAAATTTGGTCTTACTGGCAGAGAAGACCAGGCAATTTGTGCAACACACACTTTTTAGAAACAATTCTTACCCTTAATATACTCTAAGAACATCCTACTTTTGACTTTAAAAGGAAAACAATAGGGCAAACTTTGTCTCGCTGGCAGATCTAGGAATTTGAAGATACTTTTTCTAGGAGCTCCTAAGCTTCACAGATTTATTTTTAAAGGACTTTGCCGAAAGATACTTTCGAGGTTGACTATCTTAGAAACTACTTGCTTTGCCTTTAAAAGAGAGAATAGGGGCAAATTTTTGGTCTTACTGGCAGAGAAGAGCTGGAAATTTATTTAACAGGACAATTTTTCTCAAAGTAATTCTTGGGCTCAAGAGACTTTGCCGATAGATAATATTGAGATTTGATACTCTAAGAACCTCCTCCGAAAGAAGAAAGCAGGGCCTTGCTAGCAGAATTGACCAGAAACTTTATGCGACAGGACACTTTTTCTAAGAACTCCTACGCTTTACAGATAAATAAAAAAAACTTCACTGAAAGATATTCTTGACATTTTCTACTCTAAAAATATCCTACTTTTGCCTGCAAGAGAGAAACTTGGACAAACTTGATTTTGCTGGCGGAAAATACCGGGAACTTCACCAGTTGGACACTTTTTAAAAATCTTTGTTCCGCATTTGAATTTATAAAAATTTGGCGAGAGTTTTTTGGGGTTCTTCCACTCTAAAAACATCCTACTCCTGCCTCCAAAGAGAAAAGAGCAGGGCGAACTTGGTCTCGCTGGCAGAAAGACCAGGGACTTTATGCGACACTTTTTCTAAGAATCTATGCATGAGAGATAAATTTTGCAAAACTTCGTTAAAAGATACTTTTGACATTCTCTAATCTTACAACGTCCTGCTTTTGCCTCCAAAAAAGAAAAGAGCCAGGCAAATTTGGTCAACTTGGCAGAAGATACCAGGGAATTAGCTCGACGGGAACTTTTATAGCATCTGACTTAAAAAACTTTGCGGAGAGATACAGAGATACTTTTGAGATTTTCTGCTTTAAGAACGTATTACCTTTGCCTCCAAAAAGGAGAGCCTACAAGGCTTGGTCTCGGTGGAGGAAAGACCATGGAGGTCTCGCTCCACGAAAAGACTAGAGACTTTATGCGACGGAACACTTTTTCTTAACAGTTCCTAGCCTTGTAAAACTTTGCGGAAAGGTGCTTTTGAGATATTACACTCTAAGAATTCTCTTTTTTGTCCTCAAAGGAGAAAAGATGACCAATGCAGATGCATGCTGGGTTCTCCGGGAGCAAAGGCATTTTGTGTGGCTGGAATTCTGTCGAGATCGAAGTTTTTACCATTTTTGGTGAAAATTGCGGGGAAAAACAAAACTTTTCGCTCCAAAAACTGGAAAGCCACAGAGAGAGCCTGCCGGAGCTCAACCAGCGAGACCACAGTTTCTATGCTGGGCCTTTTTTACGGGGGCAAAGGCATTTTCTGTGGCTGAAATTCTGTCGAAATCGAGGTTTTTACCGTTTTTGGTGGAAATTGCGAGAAAAAACAAAACTTTTCGCTCAAAAACTGGTAAGCAAAAGAAAGCCTGCCCGGGCTCAACCAGCGAGACCGCAGTTTCTGTGCTGGGTCTTTTTTCCCGGGGCAAAGGCATTTTCTGTGGGTGAAATTCTGTCGAAATTGAGGTTTTTACCGCTTCTGGTGGAAATTGCGGGGAAAAACAAAACTTTTCGCTCTAAAAACTCAGAAAATGAAATGAGTTCAAACCTATTTACAATGGCTCCCGAACGTATGCAACGTATCTGCCCCAACCCACTTGCTAGTGACCCGTAGGGTCGCTAGTCTTATATATAAAGCTGAATATTTGTTTGTCTGTCTGTCTGTCTGCCTGTACGTACGTTCCGAATGGAAAATTCCATTTCTGAACCGATTCGGACCAAACTTTGCGCACATACACTTCGGGTCCCGGCGAATGTCATAGGCTACTTTTCGTCATCGATCGGTATCGATTTTATCGATTTTTTTGCCGAGTTCACCTACGAGGCTGGGAATTGGCACAGGGGGGTAGTCGAGCATGCTGATTACGAATGCAATATTAATTTTAGAATTACATTACTTTTATCGATTTTATCGATTTTTTGCAAAGTTTGAGCTACAGGACTGGGAGTTGGCACAGGAGGGTAATCGAGCATGCTGATTACGAATACAATATTAGTTTTGGAATTATCCATTAGTTTTATCGATTTTTTGCAAAGTTTGACCTGCGGGGCTGGGAGTTTGCACAGGGGGTGATCGAGCATGGTGATTACGGATACAGTATTTTGGAATTATCCGTCAGTTTGATCGATTTTATCGATTTTTTGCAAAAGTTTGAGCTATGGGGCTGGAATTTGGCACAGGGGTAATCGAGCATGCTGATTACGAATACAGTATTATTTTGGCGCTGTTCGGCTATTCGGGCCCCAAAACTTTTTTCATCGTAGAGCTTGCTCAAACTTCGTGTATAAGGGTTGTCTTACATGTGCTGATCACAGATATCCCTTCTCCGCAGAACGTCTCCCCGTGTGGTTACGAT